GATGCAGGATGCAAGGCTCAATCCCAGGACCCTGGGATCATGACCTGAGCCAAAGGCAGAGGCTTTAACCCACTGAGCCACCCAGGGGCCCTGATGTGATACTTTTTTCAACATCAGCCCTGAATTCTGTGTAACCTTGTATTTTTATTTATTATAGATATTACAGGCCTTTTGGGATAAAATATAGGCCTATGGTAGGCTTTTGTGTGTGTAGTAATGTATGAACCTGTTTTTTTAGGGGATGTGACCATCTCTGCATTTCAGCCATCATTATACATTTCTTTCAAGAATAGTCCCATAATACATAATCAAAACTGTCTACTAATTTGGAGCTCCATATGAATATGAGGTTTCATACCTCTCTCCTGTGTACCACTCAGATAGTTTGATCTAGTTAATATATTCTTCCTTATTTGCACTCAGAATAGCTATTCTGCATCATAATTATATGATTCTCCACCTGTGGTACACAGCACACTCACCCCTGGAACCCTTCAAATGTACATCTCTCTAAGTACACCCCAGACATACAGAGTCAGAACCTCCATGTGGGAACCAAGTCATCCATATCTTTAAAAAGTTCCACAGCTGTTTCTGATATGCAGTCCTGGTTGAAAGCAAATGTCAAAACTATCAATTTTTTGGCATGAGTGTAAGATTTCAAAAATTACCCCTTTTGTAGACCTAAAACTTATGAGATATAGAAAGAAAGAGATTAAAAGAAATAGGACCAAGGGAGAGTTGGAGAACACAGCTTCTCCCTGGCCTTAGGAAGCAGAAACAAGAATAAAAAGTAGTCTACACCTTGGTTTATGACACAGTTCAGCCCCACCATCAACCAGCTGGTTTTAATTTCTTATTTAATAATTAACTTCTTGGGTTAAAATGACAGTGCTTATTTATGTAAAGCCACACTCAACTTGTCATAAGAATACATTAGTTCCTAGCATCTGAAAGCCTTTTAAATAATTGTTTCAGTATCCCCTTATTAATTTTCAGTCTAAGACATGATCCTGGACTATTTTTGTTCCCTTTCTCATACAGAGTAGAAAGAAACCTGCTTCTCCTCAGATAGCTCACATGGTGGGAGAGAGGCAAGTGAACAGAAAATTGCTATGTCTTTGTGGTATAACCTTTAACTGTAATAACAATGACATTATTGTTGTTCTCCTGTACCAGCATTGAGCTAAATACTTTAAGTATCTTATTTCTTTCTCACAACACTATTTATGGAAATGACATTTTTAATCCCTGTTTCGCAGACAAGGAAACTGAGGCTAAGAAGTAATATCGGAGGTTCCACAGCAAACATGGGGCAGAGTAAGGCTTCAAATTGGAGCAGAGATAGGGAGTAGAAGTTATTTAATCAAAGCTAAGCCTTCGTTGCTAGGGATCGGATTGGTAGTGTGCCTGATAACTCTCCGGTAGGCAGTTTACTAATGTGGGAACCATTTTCCCTTCTTTGACTTATTTTTCATGTCTATGATGAAACAGTTGGTTCTGCATGGCTGCACTTAGCTTTTAGAAAGCTTCCTCTACCCGATCTCTCTAACAGCCATTTCAATTCATCGTAACCACACATTTTGTTCCCATAATAGAGCAAGTTTAGACAGTTTTTCTGGGAAGGTGCATGAAATAGAATTTTTATTTCTAAATCAAATTCTGTTGCTCTCTTTTCAGTTGTGTCTTCCTCTTTTTTCACTCAGGAAAAAGAAACTGTTTAGGAAGGGATGGTAATCTCCACGTAGGGGGAGGTAGAAGCCTGCATGCCAAGGCTGGGGATGGAGGCTCTCATAGGAATGACACTAGTGTTTGTACGTTTCTGACGCTCACTAGAGATCACTGCCCTTTTCCCTGGGGAAGCTGGACAGTTTTACCCATGCAGAGCTTTCAGCAGCACGGAAATAATGTGGCCTAAAACTTAACACTTCATCATTCCCAGCTTCCTTAATCACATTTAGTATAATTGCTGATCCCATCTAACTATACACAAGAGGGAATCCTCCAATGGCTAGAGGGAAAGTTTTGACACGTCTGAGCTGAGAAGAAAATGCAAAGAAAATCCCAGGAGTCCTCTTTTTCTTCCCAGTGGCTGCTGCAACTGAGAATGTGCTAATTTTTTGAATTTCAGTGCCCTGTAACTTTCTGTTTTGCTTATTCATTGGAGAAGGTAAGCTTCACTCTTCTTTTTGGTATGTAGCACCGCTGCCACGAAAATGTGTAAAATTCTTAGCACATCCTAAATTGCTCTAATATTCCCTGCCACTGTGGAACTTTGGCAAAGTGTGACTTGTGCATCTTAGGAACAGAGAAGCAAGAGAACACTGGAACACTGACTTCTATGGGCCCCATATCTTTGTTCTGAGCTACAAGTAGATGGACTTCAGGGGAGCATATACCCAGTACAGTCTGGATGAAGGGTTTGAGTTAATTAAAAACTAAGTTAAATTGGGGAATAACTTTATTTTTTTAAGATTTTGTTTGTCAGAGAAAGAGAGAGAGAGAGTACAAGCATGGGGAGCAGCAGGCAGAGAGAGAAGCAGACTCCCAGTTGAGCAGGGAGCCTGATGTGAGACTTGATCAGGCAGATGCTTAACTGACTGAGCCACCCAGGCATCCCGGGGGAAAACTTTAAAGGGTGCTTACATATACTAATGCATTTCCTTTTAACTTTAAGTATACAATTATATCTTCATTTGCCCATTTTTTTAAAATGTAGGGCCAAAGCCTGGAATTCTGGGTCAGTGGTTCTTTCTTAGAAATTTCCCATAATTAAATGCATCAAACTCCTACTTTAACGGAGCAAGTAAGACACACAGAAAGCAATGTAAGTTAAAATCCTCTTATGTTTTATTACTTTTCCAGTCTTTTAGAGTTGTTGAAACAAACATAATTCAAAACCATTTTTTAGTTATTTGCTTTTTTTGAGCAAGCCTAATGTTTAAGTTTCATCAAAAACAAAACAGAACAAATGATTTTTCCCCACTAATATTGAACTTATTTACATAAAAATGTGAGACTTATCATTACAGTAACAGAACTGATATAAACAGTTTGGGGACCCAACACAGTGGACATTTAATAACTCAGTTGGCAGAGACAGTAATAGACAAATGTATTTAATGCATTTAGTTTACTCTGGGCATCAATATATTTTAAAGAAGGAGTGGAGAACACTGACTCATGTGTTAGGTTTGTTAAAGGGGAGAGCAGTTAAGAATTCTTCTGCTGTAGGGGTGCCTGGGTGCTCAGTCAGTTAAGTGTCTGACTCTTGGTTTTGGCTCAGGTCTTGATCCCAGAGTCCTGCTGATCGTGGGCTCTGTGCTGATCATGGGCTCCATGGTGATCATGGAATTTAGGCTCCTTGCTGATCATGGAATTTGCTTGAGATTCTCTCCATTGCTCTCTGCCCCCTCCCCTTCTCTCTAAAATAAAATAAATAATTTTTAAAAGACTACTTCTACTGTAGTTATAATTATATAAAGTTGATGTACTTTAAATTTAAAAAAATAAAAACATGGTTTCCAAATTCTATCATCTGTGTTGAGAAAAGGAGAAGTGCTATGGTTATCTTAGTACTACCCTCTTATTTCTTAGAATGGATAAAGTAAAACCTTGTTAAATGAATACCTCAGTTAACAGAATCAGTTTCTTTCTGAAATGTCTGAGTATTTCCTGGGATGCTGGAGGTGTTCCTTCCAAATATTAATGCATATAGGGACAAACAGGGAGTTTGTTTGCAGGCAGTGGGGCTGGGTCTTCAAATATCTTGATTCAGTGTGGAGCCAGGATTTTTTTTTTTTCCCCCACTCAGAGGTCCAGTGATTATGATTCAGTGGGCACTTTAAAACACCTCCCTGAGTCTCAGCCAAATTACTTACAACAAGAATTATGTTTTAAGGTTACTTCTCTGAGTGTCACTACAAAGTGCTGTAGTATTTTCTTCCTCCCTTCCTTCCTTCCTCCCTCCCTCCCTTCTTTCCTTTCTTCCTTCAAATGTCAATGAAGCATATGGAGTACCCAGCATATGCCAGCAGTCCACTAGTCACAAATACAGCACACCTTCTATCCTCAAGAAGCTCACAGTTTGGTCGATAAGACAAACATGTAATTCAAGAATTATATTCAATTTCAGGCATTACCAAGGAATACTTTTGGGGATTCAGAAACTGAATACCCAAATCTAGAATGCCAGCAGTTTCCTAGGTTCCTAGTTTTCCTACTACTAACATAACCATTAAGAATTAGCTTTTCTTTGGGGACCACTTCTTTCCCTCACAAAGAAACAGTTTTTGAACACTTCAGAACCATGATTGGGATTCCCCTGTGGAGAACAAAAGCCGTGTTAAGAGGCAGGGGCCAAGCAGCCAGGGAGGTCCACTCACTAGCTCTTACATGTCAACCTTCTGCCTCAAGACCCAAATCCATGCCAGTAAAGCATTTAAATGACTCTAGTCCTGGGTTTACAGGTTTGCTTATTAATATTTAAAAATGAAAATATTAAAGTTAGAAAAGTCAAGGGTCTAGTAATATATGTTTAAGTTATTATCTAAGTATAATTTGACTCCTGAATAATAATAGCAACAAAAGAAACAATAATAATATTTGTTAAATAGCTTATCTGGTAATACCCTGATAATATTCATTGAAAACATTTAAGTGATGTTCAAAATATTCCATTAACTAGTGTTTTAGAGACATTTTCAAAAGCAAGCTGTGACTGAGAAGTGTTTACTGGTCAAACTTCTTAATTAGATTCATTTAATCTGAAATCACCTTACCTACACAAATTTGATTATCAGCCTTTTACTGTAATAAGAATTCACAGGGCCCAGTGGAGGGAAACATAACAGAAAAATATTGAGTCAGTAATTGGAAAAAAAGTGTGTAAAATGTGAAAAATGGTCTTTACTGTTAAAGAAGGTTGTGTTATTTTTTACAATGAAGTTAATACTGAACCTGATAAGAGGTAACAACCATATCTCTATCTCCTTTTGTAGGGCTTTGGAAATCCCTCTGGTGAATATTGGCTGGGGAACGAGTTTATTTTTGCCATAACCAGTCAGAGACAGTACACACTAAGAATTGAGTTAATGGACTGGGAAGGAAACCGAGCCTATTCACAATATGACAGATTCCACATAGGAAACGAAAAGCAGAACTACAGGTAAGTCCTCCTTCCATACAGGGCTCAACTCCCTTGGACTTCACCACCTACCAGTTACAGTGGAAAAGTGTGAAAGACAGAAATGATACAAATCATGCTTCAAGATGAAAATTAGGCTCTCTAGGCCTGTGGTAGTGATACAGAAAACTCAGTAAAGACTTCTTAAAAGTCTTTAAGTTTTCACAGATGGGTTGTTTTGATGTTGGCTCAGCCTCTAGAGGATGAGGAATTGAGTCCAGCACAATATTATTGTTGTCGTAGTTCTTATTGTTGTCACTGTGATGAGATCGGTGCTGTGAATTCATATGTACAAAATTGTTGACAGAGAACTGACTCAGATCAGTGGCTTGAAATAAGCACCCTTTTCTATCAAAAGAATTTCTACTGACACTTTATTTACCTTAAATTATTATTTTTTCACATTATTTTGAAAGTGACAAAGGAGAGGTAAAATGTTATGTTTTTATATGACTTCCATAAAAGATAAGATGGAGCATAATTTAGAATTTTTTGGCAAATAATGTGAAGGCAAAAATAAATTCAAATAATAGCATGAACATGCATGATACAACATTGTAGATGTACAAACAAACTATACACTTTCCTATTAACATCTATGATTTTTTTTCAATGACAAGTTTGTACACTAGGAAAAAAAAATTTAAAAATGGCTAAGCAAGTAATGTGGTACGGTAAATTCATTCTCCAAACCCTTACTGTGTTACTTCTGTGTTCCAGGAACCCTACTGAGCACTGCTAATTTTGCAGTGGATGATGAGATCGCTAGTCTCCCAGACCTCACAGTCCAGCTTTGTAACTAACTAGGTCACTAAATAACTGGCTAGCATTCCTTTAGAATAGGGAATATATTTCCATTACTTTTGTATCACTATCCATTAATGCAATACTTGGCCCATAGCAGGTCCTTAATAATTGTGTGTGACTGAGTTTCATAATCAGTAAATTAATGTTGCAATGATTTCTAACTCTCCATATTGTAGCTACTCTACATCAGTCTTGTAAACATGATTGTGTAGATTAAAGAGTCGGTACATAGCTTCAAGCAAAATGCAGTGACAGCAACCAAAGCTTTTGCTCTTTTTCCAATCTGTGTGGCCATCTTGTAGCTCACTTGTTTTTGCTGCTTATATCTTTTTGAGACATACTATTCTTGCAGCTTTTGAATCTACAACGTTTTTCATGAACACATCTCATTTAATGGATTATGCATGGGATTGGATCCTTGGAGACATAAGAATCATTTTCTTAACAAACAGTGGTGATGTCACCACAACAGAGGGATGAGAAATGGATCTAAAGAGTTTTCATCATCTCATGGGAGGTTAATGAGGGTGTACATAATGGCAACTCAAGAAACCAAAGAAGAGACATTTATAAAATGCAATGGAGTGTAAGAAGAAGTGTTTCCAAGGAGGTCAATATTTGGGGAGTTTTAGAACAAGAGAAACCACTGTAAAACATCAGGGGTACTCTTATGTAAATGTTTTGACCTGAAACTTGAAACTGTATGAAACTTGGCTAATGTCAGACAGCCTGACAATAGGACTAGCAAATAATTAGTTTAGTCTTTTGCTAGGCTTCTGAAGAATTTGCCTTGGTTCTTTTCCAAAATGTCTCTCAGTTCTTAGTAGGTAGATAGGTGTGCGTGTCTGTGTGTCTATGTGCGCAGCTGCACACATGTGTTTGTGAGGCTGGGGTGGTATTAAGACAAAGAGTGCGTGGGCAGGTTTAGGAAGATGGTCAGAGTCCAAAGTAGGCTTCAGGGTGCATGGATGAATATCATTCTGGCATCTGTGTGAGGAAGGAGCACTTACTTCCTCTTAGAATGCCCCCCTACCCACACTGAGCATTTCCTGTTCCTTCACTGTATGATTCTGAACTTCAATCATATGATGCAGATCTGATTGGAAAGCAAGTCTTCCCAGAAAGAGTGAGCCATACACTCTAAGACCTCCACTTTTTTTTTAATTTTTTTTTAAGATTTTATTTATTTATTTGACAGACAGAGATCACAAGTAGGCAAAGAGGCAGGCAGAGAGAGAGAGGGAAGCAGGCTCCCTGCCGAGCAGAGAGCCCGATGTGGGGCTCGATCC